AACGGTATATTGTTCGATATACAGTTTCATATCATACCGAGCGAACATCGAAACTCCGGTGCGGTACGAAATTGCAGACCTTGATTGGAATACTCTTCTGCAACATGGTTTTAGGCAGCAATTAGTTCTGTCAGTGAATGATTCTTCTGAATTCTATGATCTTAGTTTACATTGTTCATAATATAATTCCACAGCTACAGTACATGTTATCTTTGTACTTCATAAAGAAACACAAAACCTGTTTTTATCATTTACTTAGATCCTAATTAAGCCATTCATTCTCTTCATTATAGTTTAGGTGACTTTGATTTTATCCTATTGACAGAACTATTGCATGATATGCATGTTGCATTTAATAACATGTCCTTGTAATATTCTTGCTTTGCGGAGTCCAATGAAATGCATTTAAACTAATTCTATGGATTTGCAGGGAAGTCTACTCTGACAGATTCTCTAGTGGCAGCTGCTGGCATTATTGCACAGGAAGTTGCAGGAGATGTTAGGATGACAGACACCCGACAAGATGAAGCCGAACGTGGTATCACTATTAAATCCACTGGGATTTCCCTTTATTATGAGATGACTGATGAATCTTTGAAGAACTACAAAGGTGAAAGGGTTGGGAATGAATACCTAATTAATCTGATTGACTCACCTGGGCATGTGGATTTTTCGTCTGAGGTCACAGCTGCTTTACGTATTACTGATGGTGCTTTGGTTGTTGTTGACTGTGTTGAGGGTGTATGTGTGCAGACCGAAACAGTCCTTCGACAAGCCTTGGGAGAAAGAATCAGGCCTGTCTTGACTGTTAATAAGATGGACCGCTGCTTTCTGGAGCTTCAAGTTGATGGAGAAGAGGCATATCAGACTTTTCAGAGAGTCATTGAGAATGCAAATGTGATCATGGCTACTTATGAGGATGTCCTTCTTGGAGATGTTCAAGTTTACCCAGAGAAAGGAACTGTTGCCTTTTCTGCTGGTTTGCATGGTTGGGCTTTCACATTGACCAACTTTGCTAAGATGTATGCTGCTAAATTTGGAGTTGATGAGGCAAAGATGATGGAGAGGCTGTGGGGTGAGAATTACTTCGACCCTGCTACAAAGAAATGGACTACCAAGAGTACTGGTTCGCCAACTTGCAAACGTGGCTTTGTCCAGTTTTGTTATGAACCAATAAGGCAAATCATAAGCACATGTATGAATGACCAAAAGGACAAGTTGTGGCCCATGCTCCAGAAACTTGGTGTGACCATGAAATCTGATGAGAAGGACCTGATTGGGAAAGCTTTGATGAAAAGGGTTATGCAGACTTGGTTGCCTGCTAGCAGTGCCCTTCTTGAGATGATGATCTTCCACCTTCCATCTCCTGCCAAGGCACAGAGGTATCGTGTGGAGAACCTGTATGAAGGTCCTCTTGATGATATTTATGCAAATGCCATTAGAAATTGTGATCCAGAGGGCCCCCTTATGTTGTACGTGTCAAAAATGATTCCAGCTTCTGACAAGGGTAGGTTTTTTGCATTTGGTCGAGTTTTCTCTGGTAAGGTTTCCACAGGTTTGAAGGTTCGAATTATGGGGCCAAACTATGTCCCTGGCCAAAAGAAGGATTTGTATGTCAAGAGTGTGCAGAGAACTGTTATTTGGATGGGTAAGAAACAAGAGTCTGTGGAGGATGTGCCTTGTGGAAATACGGTTGCTATGGTTGGTTTAGACCAGTTTATTACCAAGAATGCAACCTTAACTAATGAGAAGGAAACAGATGCCCATCCTATTAGAGCAATGAAGTTTTCAGTGTCTCCTGTTGTTCGTGTCGCTGTGCAATGCAAGGTTGCTTCTGATCTTCCAAAACTTGTAGAAGGCTTGAAACGATTAGCAAAATCAGATCCCATGGTGGTGTGTACAATAGAGGAATCTGGTGAGCACATTGTTGCTGGTGCAGGTGAACTACACCTTGAAATATGCTTGAAAGATTTGCAGGAAGATTTCATGGGAGGAGCAGAGATTATAGTCTCTGATCCTGTGGTTTCTTTCCGTGAAACTGTGTTGGAGAAATCATGTAGGACTGTCATGAGTAAGTCTCCAAACAAGCATAATAGGCTTTACATGGAAGCACGGCCCATGGAAGAAGGACTTGCTGAGGCGATTGATGACGGACGCATTGGCCCAAGGGATGATCCCAAAGCTCGTTCCAAGATTCTCTCTGAAGAGTTTGGGTGGGACAAGGATCTTGCCAAGAAGATCTGGTGCTTTGGGCCCGAGACGACCGGTCCAAACATGGTGGTTGATATGTGCAAGGGAGTTCAGTATCTTAATGAGATCAAGGATTCTGTTGTGGCTGGTTTCCAGTGGGCTTCAAAGGAAGGAGCAGTGGCTGAGGAAAACATGCGTGCTATATGTTTTGAGGTGTGTGATGTTGTCCTGCATGCTGATGCTATTCACAGAGGTGGTGGACAGATTATTCCAACAGCCAGGAGGGCCATATATGCAGCTCAATTGACAGCTAAGCCAAGACTCCTTGAACCAGTGTACTTGGTCGAGATCCAGGCTCCAGAGCAGGCACTGGGTGGCATCTATGGTGTCCTCAACCAGAAGAGAGGCCATGTCTTTGAGGAGATGCAGAGGCCAGGAACTCCCCTGTACAACATCAAGGCATATCTTCCAGTTATCGAGTCTTTTGGATTCTCAAGCACTCTGAGGGCGGCAACATCGGGGCAGGCATTCCCTCAGTGTGTTTTTGATCACTGGGACATGATGTCGTCTGACCCGTTGGAGCCAGGTTCTCAGGCAGGGCAGCTTGTGAGTGATATCAGAAAGCGCAAGGGCCTCAAGGAACAGATGACCCCTCTCTCTGAATTTGAAGACAAGCTTTAAGGTGTCCTAGTATTAAGAAAATGTCAGGTTGCTCTTTGTTGTTGCATCAGTTGCCTTGGGACCTCTCTGCAGGACTTTCCAGCCTGCATCCCATTTTTCTTGTGGTTACTTTAGAACTTTTTATCTATTTAAAGTCTTGCACTTATGTTTTTTAGATGCTTAACATATTGTCACGTTTGTGCTTTTTAAGACATTGTTTGCAATAAATATTTAGGTTGAGTTTTAACTGACGATGTGAGCGCTTTGTTACTTGCACATGTTCTATATCTAATGTCGGCCTTCTCTGCTGGTTGGGTTTTCGGTATTATGTTCATTTTATTTTGTGCACCGTATTCTATTATGGTCATTTCGTGATGGGAACATTCACTTCACTCGTATGCTTTCACTCTCAGATGTTTCCATGAACCTACAAAATGAAGCTGGAGCTCACCATGGGTGTTTCTTGTTCTTTCTCTCTTGGAGGGAGGGATAATGGCAGAGAGAAGTCATGAACGTGAAGGAATCAAAGCTTACAGAAGAGACTATATATTAGTACATCCGAGGCTAAATGTTGGGAATGCTGAAACTCCAATTCAAAAAATCCATTTGATCAGTAGTAATACAATAACAATAGTCATGGAAGACCAACATCAGATAGCACCAATCATACTTATGCATATGATTTAAATCTTAAAAAATACAAATGATAGATAAAAATGACTCCTAATTTCCAAAAGAACACAAATCAGACTCCTACAAACAAATATACTAAACGAAAGAGTTCTTATTTCCAATCGAACAACGGCCACACACTCGCGTCAACCAAACCCACATAGCATCATATTGAAATTACCAACCATAACCATGAAACCAACGCTTTAAGCATATCAAAGCAAACTCAAATATCTTAACCAGAAAATCAATACATCATCGAGAATAATCTTTCGAAAACGAAGCATGAGATGGGCGACAGAGAAGAAAATAGAGTTGCAAGTGTTCAAGACTTCCGCAAAGAATTATTGCGTTGTTTGCCTGGCTTCAACCCTGCGTGCCATGTATATATAGAGATGAGAGCCTTTACGACGACGAAGAAGGGGACCCTTCCATGGGATCAGAGATCATCTGCTGTTAGAGACAGTGGCAGCAGCCTCCGGCGCATCGGGCGGAGGCCGGAGGCTGCCGTCGCCATTCGTGCAGGGGAATGCGAAGAGGGAAGACGGGAAGGTGGCAGTTTTGGAGACGACGTGGGAAAAGAGTCCGGCTTGTCTATTTATTGTGTTCTCTCGTTCTTGTTTCTGCTCCCTCTCCTTTTAATGAGGAGTGGCGTACACTGGTGAGACTCTTTGCCCCACTGCACAGATATATATTATGATGCTTATTATTGCAAGCCTTGTAGGGCTGGCACTTGTTGCCATGATCGATCAAGGCGCACTTCGGTACACAATTTTGACTTGTTTGGGTGACATGGAAGTTGGCACAATCAATCGACCAAATAAACAAGACAAATGCATATCTCTCAGCTTCACTTGGTTGACCCGAATCCTCCTGAGCAGTGCATATTGTGTATCTGGATCACCATGGAAGCTGCACTGCTATTAATTGCTGGGTGAATGTGCCAGTAATACAAGATGGTAATTGTTTGCATCAGTAAACGACTCACCTCCAAATCAATGGTGGTATTGAAGCTGGCGGAGACACCAATGGATGATAGGACATCTTCCTCCTCCTCCTCCTCCTGCTCCGCTGCGTTGGCATAGCTTGCTGCACATGGCATGTCCATCTTCGCCAGTGCCGTTTGCTCTGATGGGTCATCTCAACCCAGCAAATGAATGCAGCATCGACACAAACCGTGATAGCTTATGATGGTCGTGGAACTTGTATGATCAGTCCGAGAGAGTTCAGTATCCCTTCTACGATGGGAACTCTAACACATGCACGTCGATAAGTGGAGCTGAAACACCAGCCGGAATGTTTGGCCAGCCGTCGCATGCATCAGTAGCAACTCCGAGAGATCTCCTTATTTGTTGATTTACGACAAACCATGTCCGGCTTACGTCCATAATCTAGATCTTGAGACTTCTCCGTATGCACGTCTGTGTGGCCACCTACTGAAGCTTCTTGAAGGTGCTCGAATACTGCTGTCATGGTCGCAATGAACAGGCGCACAGTGTGCGGCAGCGGAAACACTGTTGATGAGTCGAGAGGGCCTCATGGTGATACAGATCTCACATACCTGACTTCGAATACTAATAATAATAATAATAATAACCAACCTGTTTATAGCAGCTATTTTATCGAACAGATAATATATTTCCTTTTTCATTTCAAATCCATGCAGTAAGAGCAAAACGGGGCGAATTTTTCGTCGACTCCTATCCAGTCAAAATCATCCGTTACCTTAAGACGTGGTGTAGTACTTCGAAAAGATTCGTATTTTAGCGCTATGATCTCTTAATTATGGTAAGGTTTTTTTTTCTCTTCTTTTTTGGTTCATATATACATATAATTATATACTTTTAATCTTGGTGACGTCATCCATCGATTCGATCCGCCTCAAATTCCCGATACGCCCCTGCGGCTAAGCTTTGCCTTTAGCGGTTTGGTTTGTAAATAAATGATCTTTCGAGGCCTATTAGGTAGCAAAAAGGACACGTGTAACCCAGCCCTTTTACGTCGCAGCTCAAGCAGACGCATATTATAAGTATAATATCCGCCGTAAATGTCGGATTTCAGTTAAGGAGACTTGAAGAACAGCGAATCGTGGCAACTTTCACCCAAAAGATTCGTTTTTCAAATCTGCAAACCCGTCTGCTTGTTGTGCTCGTTAACATTCTCATGTCGCCGATCGATTGACTTCATTATGAAGTCGTACTGCCAAGCTGCAATCATCAGTGGTGGAGAAAGCATCGATCCAGCGAGCAGCGAGAAAAGAGTAAGCTTCGTTCGTGTTGTTTTCTTCTCAGTGAATCAAAGGCGTGGCGCCGTGTGCCACAGCAGAGAAGGCTGAGCCCATCTCTTTGCTTCTTTAATGGAGTTCATCTAAGAATTCGTCGGACGGAGGTCTTGCGAGCTGTAGCAGCAGCGTATACCGAAGCAAAAGTTAATGGGGGAGTATCTGCATGTGCGATCGATGTAGAGTTCAGGGTTGATACACGAGACCGCCAGCTTCCATAGAGGAGATATCACAAAAACATGGAAACGTAATTGTGAGGTTGGGATGTTCGGCATTGGTTTTTGAAGGTTTTGTCGGATAAAGATGTGAGCTTTTTGAACTATCGAGGTCTGCAGGCAGTTCCCTTTGTTCTGTGTGTATCCCGTCTCTTTCCTTCTTCATCGTGTGACGGCCGTGGTTTTGGGGTATGTCACGTAGTATAGGCTTATAGAGAACGTGGAGATCATCTCCCTCTCGCTGCCTTCTTGTCCTGTTGGTGCGTTACAAACGAGAGCAGGAAAAATCCGCCTTTCGCCAATGTTTGACATGGTTTCTTTTCTTCTTTGATTTCTCCCTCGTTTGGTTGAGGATATTTGGAAATGTCGGCAGTTTCTTTTCCTGCGTCGCCTTCTTTTGTTACTTCTGAATCAGCTGCATATAACAAATGAATGGCCAAACTCTAATCCACTTCTATCTTCGTTATAGTGTTGAGATCATTCACCTATCACTTCCTATTCCTATTGACCTCTTCCCTCTCCGTTCTTCGCACTTGCTTTTCTTCATCTCGAATTCCAGTTCCTTTTGTCCCTATATCTTCTCTGCTTCTGAAACTTTACCATGTCAATTTTGTTTCTTTCTCTACTTCATTAACCATTTCATTCACGCCCCCTTTCCCCCTTGTTGTTCTGTCTTTGTAGGACCTGAAGGCTGTAAGCTTCGTCAAGGAATTGATTAGATTCAGGTGACCAGGATATGGGTCGGGCAACGCGGTGGCTGTGGAAGCTGTGGGGTGGTAACAAGGAGAAACAGGAGCGGAAGGACTCTTCCGGTTACGGCGGCGAGGAGAGGTTGGAGAAGAAAAGGAGGAGCTTTTGGAAGTCAAGGAACTCCAGCGACGCGGTGTTGGGGCAGAATGCATCCACGGCGGCCGCCATGGAGGCAGCGTGGTTTAGGTCCTTCTACGCCGTAAGCGAGAGGGAACAGAGCAAGCATGCCATCGCCGTGGCGACGGCCACGGCTGCTGCGGCCGACGCGGCGGTCGCAGCTGCGCAGGCAGCGGTAGCGGCCGTGCGTCTCACTGGCCAGAGAAGGGGCAGCTGCGCCGAGGAGTGGCTGGCGGCAGTGAAGATCCAATCAGCATACAGGGGTCACTTGGTAACCAAGCTCCCATTTGCTCCTCTGTTGCTTGCTTGCTTTTTTCTTCTACTTTCTTCAACTTTCCTTGTTGGTTCGGTCGATGTTTTGCATCAGTAGATGTTTTCTTCGAGGCGGTAATGGCGGCGAAAGATCCATATGATCGATCCTCAATAATTGAGACTTATGATTTTATTATTATTATAGATGTTTTCGAGAGGGGAACGACGAGCATTTGTCCTGTTTTAATTCTGTATGATCTTTCTGGTTTTCTCGACACTTGGTCTTTTGATTCTTCATTCCTTGCATGGAAAAGTCCTCCTGTTCTTGTTGGTTTCGCTGAAGCTGTAGTATTCTCTGAAGGCAAGGAAAGCACTGCGAGCTCTGAGAGCATTGGTGAAAACACAAGCTTTGGTTAAAGGGTTCCTCGTTCGTAAGCGAGCCGCCGCAACTTTTCGCAGCATGCAAGCCCTGGTAAGAGCTCAGGCCACTGTCCGAGCTCATCAAAGATCTGGATGCCTTTCCCGTGGTGATGGAAATCCTCAACCAGAAGTCCGCCATCGCAGATCATTCGTACGTTACATATCCTAATAAGATATTCAGACGTTGATGGTTCTTCGACCCAGCTTCCATTTCTCTGTTGGTTGATCGCAGGAGCGGTTCGGCGATACTCGAAGCGAGCACATATCAGGGTTCTCAAGACGGAGAAGCTCAACAAGTCATGCCGGTGCTACCATCGACGGGAGCCCAAAGATCGTGGAGATCGATACGTGCCAACCGATCAAGTCGAGATCTTTTCGTCGAACCAGTGCCTCTGCTTTGGATCCAGCGCACGACTTGCCACTGCATGCGTTCTCCTCTCCGATTGTGTACCAAGTTCCAGCACGGATCTCCATTCCCGGCCGCGGGAACTTGCTCGAGGACGACCGGTGCAACAATGGCGAGAAATGCTGGCTCTCAGCCACCGCACACGGCACGGCCAGACACACGAACTCATCCGGCAACATGGCCGTGACTCCAGCAAAGAGCGCGTGGGATGCCGAGGGAGTTCTCGGGCAACACGTGAACCATTGGAGCTCCTCAAACTATATCGCAAACGCGCAGTCATCCAAGGCAAGACTGCGGCCTCGATGTGCATCGAAGCACCAATAAAGAGGCAACCTCTGGGCGGAGCGAATTTAGTTGGCGTTGGAATGCACGAGTCCTGCTTCCAAGTTGGAGATGATTTCAACTTGAATAGAGCGGAGGACCGGCAGGTTGTCAGGAAGCAGAGCGGGAAGTCCGTTTGCAGAGGAGGAGGTAACGCAATGGAGTACGCACCAATAAATTGTTGAATAAGAGGGAGGAACATGGAGATCATCTCTTCTTCCTGTTTGTGTTTCTTCTATCATGGACCATGTTCCATGTTCTTTGCATCAAGGCTAACACCTGACGACCTCCTTTTTCTTCAACTGGGATCTAATAATTTACTAAACAAAACATTTTGGTTCTCTTAGTGATGGATGGATAGTTACCTGGCATCACGACCAAGTCAGTAATCATCATCGTCTTTTTGGCCAAGTTTGAAGTTGGCGACGGAGAGATCGAGCTGGTATGGAGTTCGACGTCGAAGAGTTCTGGGGAATTAAAATCTTCTTGTCATGAGTCCCAGTCCCAGTGAGCACCAGGTGAAGGTGTCGATCCTCCTCGAGTTTCTGCATGAACAGTGGCATTCCGGAGTATGATCTAATGGGCTTTCCCGACTCTCAGCCGAATACTGATCTGTACATATCATTCCGATCAGTTTTTATAATTTGTGAAGATCAATATTGCTTTTCCTTTTAAAAGTAAATAGTTTTATTTTTTATAATTTATAAATTTTTTTTTAATCTTTGAATTTAAATTTGTGTCTTTATAATACTAAATATTTTTTAACTTAAAAAATTAATATTCTTAGTAGGATTATAAGTAACAAAAAAGTCTACCTCTTCCGAGAATAAGATTCCTTACAAAATAGTATATTATTCTAAAAATAAATGTAACATAAAAACATATCAACAATCACATATGCTAATAAAAATATCTGAAAAATTATAAAAATAATCTTTAATACTTATGAAAGATATATAAATACATGTAATTAATATGAAATGATAACATATCAATATATATATATATATATATAATTTTCTTAAGTTTCTCTGGAAAAATTTAAACCTCAGCTAAAATATTTGTAAAGCAGAGGATGGTTGTGGCATTTTACATGATAAGAGATTCATATGAGCATAAAGCAGTCAACTCGGTTGCTTAGTTAAGAAGTACTCGGACTCAAAACCAGACACGAGACCAATTTTGCTGATGTTCTCTACATGGAAAAGCTGAGTTTTCAATATCAAGAAAGAAGAGGGTCATAGAAGTTACAATGATATGGGCATTAAAATGCAAAGCTAAATTGTTTCCGAGTGAAATTATTGTAGGCTTCTTAGCTGCCTTGCATCTGATCATTCTTTTTCTTTTTTTCTTTTTTCCTTTTGTCTTTGCGTGTGATTGCAACTCGGGATAAGGATTGTCACCTTAAGTATGCTGGTTGTTCAGTGAGCATCCGAGGAACATCTCAAATAGTGATGAGGATGATGACCACCTCAATCATGCAGAATGTTCAGTAACAATCAGAGGAAGAGTTGAAACAACAGATAAGGATGATCATCAAGCTCCTTATCTTTCCTCTCTCTGTGAACCGGTTTTCATGTGAGAGTTGCATGTGTGTTGTCAATGTTCAAGAACAAGGTGTCTAATTTAGAATGGCCTATGAGCTCCGGTGGAGCCATGAGTTAGGTCACTCAGAGAGTGACTTGTGCGGCTATCAGCTTCTGCTGAGACCAAAAGTACTATTGGAAGAGCAAACCATCAACTTTTGCAGAAAACCATGGAAAAACAAGGAGAAAAAATAATGATTTCATTCATACTGGTGCTAAAACATCAGATCATCACATCATCTTTTCGTTTTCCATGACCAGGAGACTGATGTGGGGAATGCTCCAGCATCGTTCACATAACATGGACATACCACACCACTTTGGAACATTTTCCATGGAGGCATGTCTGTGTACAAATTAATAATCCAGATGTTTAATCTTTTTTTAACCAAATTAAAACTAATTAGATGTTCTTTCTTTTTCTTGAATATATCCCCTCTGGCCAAAAACAGTAAAGAGTCGGTCCCAATCACTGCATCTCGCAAAGCTAGAAAGAAGGATCACACGACCGATCCACCAACGTCGTCTCCGAGCTTGGGCATACCTTCCCCTCCCACAAAACCATGGCCTCGGGATTTGCCTCTGCCCATGGATTCCTCAAGTCCATTGAATTATTTGATCCAACTGTTGGAAAAGTGCGTTGGTCGTGGTGGAAAAAGTTGGCAAGTACTAAATAGGATATGATATGGATGACCGACGTGAGCCTTATCCTATGTCTCCACCCCCCCGTATCCCATCCCTGCCTTCCTCGTCCTTCCTTACCACCATATGTGGAGCCATTTCATGCAAATCCACTAAATTGAGCTGGATGATTGGAGACCAAGTTGTCGCTGCTTGGTGTTCAGAGCATCTTAACGTACTAAAATACCCAGCCGCCCACGGAAATGTGCCTCGAGCATCAGGTTGGATGGATGTGTCACTGTATTTAGCCATCCATGCAAGGACCAGTGGAGTCCGGTGGAGCTGCCTTCACTCCTGAAGTCATGGATAAAGGTCTCAGGGACAGGTCTCATGGAGCTACATTGCCCAGAGTCTCGGAGGATGGCAACGACCTATGTGAATCTTCATCCTTCTGTGGTGATTCTGATGACTCCGTGTCGTCGTCGTCGTCGTCGAATGCTGTCGATGATGCTACTTCTTCAGCATCATCCGGTGCCCTGCGGCTGGATTCACAAGGGCCTCTGTTCGAACTGTCTTCTCTCATGACTCAGCTCCCTATTAAGTGAGTACCCAACTAAACCTTCGATAGCTCTGTTCTCTGGTTTTAGACGGTGATGAAGTATGTGAAGTAGACAATAGGATGACTTGGTTCATACATCACAAGCACGTCACTCTGTTTATCACGTAGCACTTGATCTCTCTGTCCAGATACAAATTGTTGATAGAATATACAAAGATTTGCCGTGTACACTTTTGATTACGTGATTTGCTCATTTGCAATCTGCAATTCCAATCAATCATTTCTGGGGTTAACTGCAGTGTGTGTGTGTGTGTGTGTCTGCAGAAGAGGGCTGTCAAGGTACTTTCAAGGGAAGTCGCAGTCTTTCACATCCCTGTCTGATGTCAGATGCATAGAGGATCTTGCCAAAAAGGAGACTCCTTGCGGAAAGAGGATGAAGACATGCAGGAGCTATGCAGCAGGTCTGGATGCAGCACAGAGGCCATGCTTCACACCGGGGCCTCGTCGCAAGGCTCTAGCAAAGAAAGGTTCCAGGGGTCCATGCGCCTCCTTGCTAGCAAGGAGCAGTAGCAGTAACCTTTTACGTAGCAGAAAACCTCCGACATGAGAACCACCGACAAGGCACTCCTCTCTCACATGTTCAAGATGAGAACCCATGTATTTTACTGGATTAGGTCTTTGCAGCCGGGCTGTAACTGGCCCTCACTGGTTGGGCTTTACCGTCCGCTCTGACGATGAAGAAGGTCCGACATCAAGAAATCAGATTTTAATTAATTTCTTAATCATATAACACAAACAAGGAAATAAATAATTAAAATAAAGTAAAACATTAATTATAGTAATTTAATTTTATAAAAGAGGAACTCATACTTCAAACACGACAACTTGTGATACTAATCGGTCTATTTCAGTTCCTATCATCAGTCTCTAATAATGCACTCAATAGACCTGCAAATTTTGATTTATCATGCTAGTTAGTTAACTGATCGTTGTGATTCCTCAAGTCAAGATTATCTCAAGCCATACAAGTGAGTGGAGAATGATGTAATGTTCCTTATTCCATTGTGATTGAATCAGAACAGCAGAAAGCATATCCTGCCTGAGGTTCTGCAAGTGTTGCAGGATCCGGAGCTTCCAACAAACAAGGGGTCGAAATTAGACGAACCAAGAAGATAAAGAACCTCTCCTTTGGTGGATGCAATGGGATGCTTGATGCTGTTTAAAGCTACAGGACATGCATTCAAGTTGGCAGGATCTTATCAAGAATGTTTCTGCATGTGGCTCAACTGTTTGTGCTTGCAAATCTGTGAAAGGAATCCTGCATGTTGCCCTTCAAACTGGAAGGGCCAAAACGCACCAAAAAAAGAGGAAAATATGCTGAAGATGAGCATCCCTGCATTAATGTATTTAGGGACTATTAAGATCTCAAAATTCACAAACATGTTTCCACTTTGATTTAGTTGTAGCAACTTTTCTTGCAATCAAACCCAGCAGGCTGCATTTGGTCAAGTAAAAAATTTAGTGCAAACTCATCTTTAGTAGTGTCCAAGGGCAAGAGACAAAGGTTTGATGGTAAAAGGTCTTTATGGCCTGGCTTCCAACAAGAACAGGCAGAATATATTTTCACATTTGGAAGAATTAGATGCTACAGGGCATGATGCTAAAGAGATAGTTACTTGGATCCAAACAAAAGAACATTCCGACAGTATAATCGCATGTCAGAATGCTGGAAGAACAAAAATGTATAATGTAAGGCCTCAAAATCGACGACAACATTCTCATCTTTATGTCAAGGTCTTGGATGAACTTGAATGGTTCTTGACATTCTCCTTTTTCAGACAGGAACATGATGAAATTTCTTGTGATGGTGGGGGAAACTCGTAGTCCCAATACGAACCACATGACTGCGAGTTCATGTAACTTGGCCATTAGAAGCTTCTACTTGCAATAGGAATGGCATATGAGATGCTTCTCCATTTGTAAGGCCACATGCAGCTTCATGGAGAGGTATATATTTGAAGCGAGGCTCCTCATTGATGCCTACTCAGATAGCTTGCGGCATCGAAAACACACACAATGGCTCTGATCAAAGCTCAGATTTCATATCCCATTTGCAACCACGCGTTTCTCGAGAACAGATCTTTGAGAATGACCCATCTTTATGTCAGCAGGAAGGCAGAGGGTAAGAAAATTTTCAGCATGAATCTTTTAAGAGTCTAATTTCCCAGCTTATTTTGCAACGAGGATCCAAAAGAATACGTCAGACATGATGTTCGGAATTGCAAGAATTATGCATATTCCAAGTTTTGAGTTTCTTCAGAAGCATACATATGAAATCTTACCATAAGCCTTGTTTTTTTGTAATCCTAATACGAATTGCAGATTTGGCATTCAAGCCACAATGCTTGAACATTCCAAATGGAAGACCGAAGTTGGATTCATTACTTAACATTGGCTACGGAAACAAGAGGAAAATGATCAACCATGCCACCCTGAGCACGACACAGAGTACAACTGTCGATTCGTTGGATGCCTGCGAAGATGATTATGATGGGGTCATCATCAACCCACAGTGCTTGCCGACCAGTGCGAACGCATTTGCAGCCATCCTTCGCTCCTCGCTTTCTTATTGGAAGCTAAAGGTTAACGACGCATTCCATCTCTGCACATGATCCGCTACATGATGATACTTCAAGTTTCAGACATTGCTCATTGTGTATCCAATACAGGGAAAGAAAGGGATTTGGCTGAAGATACTAGAAGAGCAAGCAGAACTTGTGCCGATTGCGCTGAAGGTTAGCCTTTTTTTCCTATTGGGAGTAACAACGAACGAATTTATAGTCACGATCATGTTTATTTATCCTTGTTAGAACTGACATATGCAAGAATTCAATCTTTTAACATGCTGAAGCTTGTGGAAGTCACTCCATTTTGTAGTGACGAAAAAGAAGAAGTCTTCGGGCTAAAAGTGCTGTTTTACGATCTGCAAAATGAGACGATGCAATTGCAGATTACCTGGCATTCTTACATCTGCTATCAATTGTCCATATTATCTGGCAGGAAGGTTTCGGATACCACCATGCAGATCCAGGATATGTGATGTTAACATACTGGATTCCTGAGGAGCCTTGCATGCTTCCATCCACAGCAACTCATCAGATTGGCGTAGGAGGATTTGTCATCAATGATAACAGAGAGGTGATTATTTCTTACAAGTTTGGAATTACCAAGAAGCTAGGGATATGTGCTTCTTATCGTCATTATGCAGTAGTCGCGTTCTTCTTCAGCTTTTGGTCTGGGGAACTCACTCTCCGAAATCTCTGGTTGCCCTGTCTTCCATTGTTTAGGTGCTTGTCGTGAAAGAAAAGAAGTGTCCTTTGAGGTGCTCAGGCATATGGAAGTTGCCGACTGGTTTCATCAATAAGGTATGCATCCTTCTGTATATATGCTGTTGGATTCCTTAATCAGTCAATGATCGATGTGACCTTATTTTAATTGCTCAGTCTGAAGAAATATTTTCTGGAGCAGTAAGAGAAGTCAAAGAAGAAACTGGGGTAAGGAGATTCGTATGTTGTCATATGGGAGTTCAGCTTGCTCAATGATTTCTAGATTCATGGTCATCTTCTGGTTTACATGATCTATTCTGTTTCCTTGCAGATAGAGACTACCTTCTTAGAAGTGCTTGCCTTCAGGTACCACGAATCTTACTTTCTACTGGTGCCATGCACCTATATATCCATTGTTGAACATCAATGAATATATATATATATATATATATATATATATATATATATATATATATATATATCTTCTCTTTAATTCTAACCCAATATGGTTTGACATTTACTTCCACTCTGCAATCCACAGGCATGCTCACCGAGTCACCTTCGAGAAATCCGACTTGTTCTTCATATGCATGCTCAAGCCATTGACATCTGAGATCACCATTGATGAGCGTGAGATAGCAGCAGCCAAGGTAACAACAATCCTCTCTCCTGTAAGTAGTTTAGCATGTAAAGTCGACCTCCATTATTGATGAGCTGCTGGTGATGCTTATGCTACAGTGGATGCCGCTTGACGAATTCCTAGCGCAGCCATATCATCAGGGGGACAGAATGTCAAAGAACGTCGTCGACATCTGCGTCTCGTCATATGAAAACAAGTACCGCGGTTTCACAGCACTGCAGATGATGTCAAAGCTCGATGATAGATTGTCCTATCTCTACTGTGGAGATCTGTACAAATGGAAGAAATGCCTGGCAGAAAAATAGTCTCTCTCGCTCTCTTTTGTGGTTGTTTACAGTAATTATGAACCTACAGAACTGTCTCATGTACGACCTTCTGCTGGTAGCCTAAGAATTGCTATACGAACCTTCTCGTTTGGCTTGTGATGCGATCTTCTGCTTCATAACCAAAGGCTTCAACCTTGTTCGAGATTGTGTTGCCGTCAGACTCCAACGTAAGATTTTCGTGCATGAATACGTTCCTCTTAACTTTGATCTGCAAAATATTCAGAAACTTAATGAATATATGCCCCTTCAAGATGAACTACCAAATCACCCCAATTCCGCAGGTTCTCATCCGAGTCTGCCAATCGGCATGCAGGTCGATTCACAAAGTTCGACTTTTTCCTGCTCGCTTCTGTCGACTTTTTGACTGCTTTGCTGAACGTGATCGTGAATTTGGACATCCAGAGGAGGACACTGGTGGTGCCCTGTCATCTCAAGATAGATAGCGACTGGTGGATGAATCTTGCGCCGCTCCTGTTAGAGATAAGATCCTAAGAATTGACAGACAAGTTTTAGATTAATCTCCGCCACCCTGAAATTAAAGTATAATAAATGACTGGGGCACCGATACTCTGTGTTTCTGAGACGCTCTGCATCTGCCTGCTTTCACCACGTCTACCTCCGCACACCGCCAGCAGCAACGACAAACCATAAGAATCTCTCCGCTGTTCGTTTCAGGCAACATCTAGGCAGTATGAATCCCAGGGCTGCCGCTTGCCGCAGTGTCACCTGTTCGACACAGGACATATAAGGATCTGCTTTGATATACGTGAATCTACGACCGATGTTATAATATTTTAGCTTCGAACTTTGGATTCGTTGACTCGGCGGTGTGGATAAGCAGAGATAACGGTGCCGACCACCTGGTATAGAAACTACTGCCGGGAGAAATGGATCCGAGCATTGGACCGTATAGAAACTACTGCGGTGTGGATAAGCTTGTCGGAAAGCGGAGATAACGGTGCCCACCACCTGGTATACAAACTACTGCCGGGAGAAATGGATCCGAGCATTGGACCGTATAACCACAACAATAGTATTCTACCCTACCGCCGCCGACGGACTTGGGGATAATGTCGAGTACGACACAGGGACGTTCCACGTCGGGGTGGATAATGTCGACATGATGGACAGCGATGTCCCAATAATAAAATAGTCAGATGGAACGAATCGATCTGGGATATCGTTTTCTAGCTCCAGGAGTGAAGCTGACTCTTATCCTATCCTTATTTTTCCCACCACCCGTTTCCATCCGTGAAGACGACGCCAGAAATCTGCATGGTTGATCTGCAGCCAGGAATAGCCGTTAATCCACATAAATGAATCTGCAATTTTGATTATGCTAAACCGCGAACATTGTTTATGGCAGACAACCAAACGCATCATGAGGTGACATGATTTGGCTCTGCCCTCGAAAGAAGGGAAGAAAGAGGGAATAAGAGAAGATCTCCTGTGTGTCTCTTTGACTAGACATCACCACTTGACAGTGAGACATTGCACGATATGGTTACCTCGAAACACCGTGAATCCACTGCTCCTATTTCCACAGGATGGCACTCAGCTTTATCACATGCCTGTCCTTCCATCGGTGCAGAAAAAGAAGAACCTTCTCTCTCTCGGGCAAGCAAGCGACATGAAACTGGAGCACAATAAGCGAGCGCACCAAGCGTGTATCATAGACAGCGACAACGGGGAGGATTTATTCCTGCGCACTTCAGAGATTAATTCATGTCACCATCTAATCTCCTCGGCATCGACTGGCAAAATTATGAACTGCAAAACTGGAAGCAAAGGTCATTATCTGATGTCCCAGTCGTGAGGTGCGCAATAATCCGACCCCATCTCGGAACCTATCTCATACTTACAAAGCACGCAAACAACAGTTTGTGAAGGAAAAAAGGGTCAGATCTTTGCTAAGCATCAGAAATATATTGGATGGCAAGTTGACGTTTTTACAATGTCGACATGACAAAAGGAATACGCTAACATGGATAAATACAGGTCCAACGTTTCGATTGGACATCCAGCATTAACCACCAGCATTAACCACGGAAAAGGATGATGGGATGAACAATGGAAGAGAATCCAACTCAGTCGTTTGCAGAGACTGCTGCTTCCTCTGGTAGACTTCAGCTGCCTTCTGACACTTCTTGGGACAGTGTTGATGGCTTCTACATGGAACAACAAAGAACTTTTTTTTTGGCGTCGCGACTGCAAGATTCACAACCGCACAAGAAACAATGAGACGATGGCATTTATAATCCACCCTTTTTATTCCTTCAATTTCTTCATCGCTTTCTATCCTTCGTTTCTCGCCGTCTGAAGATTTTTGCTATTTTAGCAAGTCAGAAACCCACCCAACGTCCGGCGTCGCTTCTGCCTTGTCAAAAACGCTGTCTTTGCTCAGCCTCTCGAACATCTTCGCCCTCAGCGCCCTCCCGGACTCCACCCTCTCCGCCGGCTCCACTTCCTCCAGCCAGCCGGCAGTAGCGACCGTTGGAGTCGACGGCAGGCTACAGAAAGCAGTGTTGAACCCAGCAAGAGTCCCCCTTGGCGACGCAAACCCATCATTTACAGTTTGCAAACTCCACGAACTTGGCACCGACTTTCCCCTGCTAAGCTGCAGCTGCCTCAGCGACGCTACGATTTCGTTCACCGAGGAGCTTTGCTGCCAAGAATCCCGCCGCAGCTTCGCGCCGTTGGGTGAAATAGGCGGAGACTTCGCTGGCGGGGACGTGGGAGGGGAGATCAGCGTCGAAGCCGGCGGGGAGACGAGATTCTTGGAAACATAAGACTGCGAGGCGGGCTGCTGGCGAAGAGGCGACCCGTCGTAGGACTCGGCGGAGGCAGCAACCGGGGATGTAGAGCTCTGCTGGGGTTGCGGTGGCACTAAGCGGAGCTGGTCGGGTGTGTGGGCAAAGAAGCAGACGCGGCGACGGCACGTGGTGCCGTCCTTGCAAGGCTGGGTGCGGTAGCGCTCCGGATGGAGCCAGCACTCGAACACACCGTGCGCGAGATCGCAGGCGTCGCCGCGCTTGCACCCACCGGCCTTGCGGAAGTCCGGACATGGTGCGCCGGAGTAGCGGTGCTTCCGCGGGTCACGGCGGCGGGCCTTCTCCCCCGGGTGCGCGAAGGGGCACTCGGTCCAGTCGTGAGCGCGACCTCGGGAGCACCGCCGAACCTTGAACTCGTACATCCGGAACTCATCCGACGCGTACGCGTCCACCACAGGTGGCGCGTCCTCCCCAGCGCCCTCCTGGAGCCCGAGATAGAGCTGCATCGTCACGACCGTGTCCTCGTCCAGAACGCCGTCGCCGGTGGCGACGCCGCAGACGGGGTAGTGGGACGATGAGGTGGTCACTGCCGTTGGATCATCGAAAGGGGGCCATGGCGGGACGTGCACCGTGGGATTGAGATGGCTGATATCTCGTCCGATCATCATCATCGTCTCACCCACCGTAGCTATTCTTCTTCGCTTTCCTTCCGCAGTGGCTTCCTCGGCGCAGCATGGCACATAAATGGGAATGGGTGACCGGGGTTGGGTTATAAGCAAACCGCGGTTTCCAAATATCTGTCTGTAACTGACGGCGTTTCTGCATGTTGAGGCGGTGACCGCACGAAACGTCAAATCCTTTGGTTTTCCTGGCGTAGCAGCGTCGGGGATAACGGAGCGGATCGTGAAAGAGATGGCGGAGGACACGTGGAGGAATCAGATGAGTCCGACAGACGTTCGTTCGCGTGTCCAGTCGGGGACACGTTCTTCCTCTTACTCATGACAAAAGATCATACCGACGAATCCTACCCGAACGTGTTACGTATATGTGGGCCGACAAGAACTTATATATGGGCCCCAGATTCTAGTCCAATAAAAAGGTAGCTAAACGCGTGAGTTCGGTCGACAGAGAAAGTAATTAACGATGTCCGTATTGGAATTGAGACAGTGCGATTACTATTAAGATAAGTCGGTGGCACACAGTAGAAGCATGTTCCTACTTACTTTTATAGCCTTATGACTAAAGATTTTGAACTCTTAATTATGGTATCACATGATCCTCGCTTTATTGTTCGACTAAGATCATACGGGTAGCCAGCGTCCATCGAGACCGTATGATTAAGATCATACGGGCAGCCAGTGTCGTCCCCGTGACCTCGGGTTAAGCGGGACGGAGGTCCACCAGCGATGGTACACGGCAGTGGTGTGCACTGTGCCCCTCTGTCGTTGCTCCACCAGCACGGGCAACCTCATCAACATCGACAATGTACAGGGGGAGAGGGATCGAAAATGATGGTAAGAGCCCATCAACATGCAGGTGAGATGGAGAGATAGTGAGATGATGTTACGTACGTGGGTCCGATCTAATCCGGTGACACGGCACAGCTCGCACGCGTGACACGAATTCTTAGTGGTCCATCCCCGTGTCTAACATGTGGCCCTCTCACGCATGTCATCATTGCATTTCTGGAGATAATGGCAAAAACAAAAGTATTATCAGCAAAAAAAAGACCACAATTCTTTTCCATACGACTCCCCGCAATTACATATTTAATTTTTGGGGGAATAATAATGTAACAATGTTTGCTTTATTTTATTCTCCAAATTTCAGATTACATTTACGAAAACTCTTTTTCCAATAAGGTCTACACCTCATTGTAAGGTGACTAGGCATTCTGATATGATGGTCAGATCCGAAGGCCAATTTTTATACTCCAGGCATGGGAAACTGGTTTGTGAGAGCTTCAACCTTTTTCTTGAGTTCTGATACAGATTCCTTGAGGGAGAAATCCGGAGATTCCACATAGTCGAAGAAGTCTTTGAGCTTCGTTCCCTTCATGCACGCCTTGGCTTTCAGCGCAATTTGGACCCCCTCATGGATGAAGTCTGCTACAGCCTCGAAATCCTTCTCCTTGAGGCCTCTGGTAGTCATTGCAGGTGTTCCGATGCGGATACCCCCCGGGACCATAGCACTTTTATCACCTTCACAGCATCAGGATTCAAACAAGAATGAGAGTGAGCATTACAGAGTGAGCCCGCAAGCTACGAGTTCGAACGGATAATGGACTGACCTGGCACGGAGTTCTTGTTGAGTGTGATTGAACTGATGTCCAGGATTTTCTCAACCCGAGCTCCATCGATGCCCTGTTGTAGAACACATTGTAACAGAATTAGAAATAAAAAGAGATATGGAATGGTGACTCTCGGCGAATTTACGGCATCAGAAACAGTTCATAAGTTTCAGTTATAATTTTTGAAAAAAAGTAAAACAGGATGAATCGACATGATTTTCTATCATCACCAGATGAATATATAAGACAAGATGGGGTATTGAAAGGATTTTTTATATATCCACTTCATTGTAACCACCAAAATATTAATCAGACAAACTAACTGCATTGGACCCATTTCAGAAAATGTATCAGAATCATTTGAGAAAAGGCTTAGTTGCTCCTAGATAAATGCAGGAGGGCCAATAATCAACCATGAATCATCTCAAACTGGCAACAGAATCCATTCATGCAATGTGTCCTCAGAAAAACACAACGCAACTGACCTATTGATCTGCTTTGAGTACATCCCTAATCATCATGATAAACTTCTTCACAAGGTACGACAAAATAAGCCCACAAATCAAAAGCCAAAAAACAACAATATTTGCATCTTAGTGTCCCATTTAAAACAAATACCTTTCTCTAAATTGTCCTAGTTGTGTTTTAGATGTCTTACTTCGATAATCTCTAATACAAATGAATAGCAGCTCTGATACTCGAGTAAAAAAGACGCATGAAACAAGAAATGTTCGTACACACTGGTTTAACAATAGCATCATCTTAAAGTGTGGTATCTTGATCCACATAATTACATCTTAACTCACACATCTGTCCTGCAAGCTACCTGGTTGGACATTTATTATATGCCACAGTAGCAGAGTTAACAAAGGGGAGGAGGCCATAGAGACGATGAATTGAAGACCAACAGTTACCGATAACCACTTTACTTTGCACGCAGAGTGGCATTTCAGAAAAACATGTTCTAGGAGATCAATTCTGGTCCAGAATGATTGAATACCCAAACAGTCAGACATAGACTGAAGAAGATTCAAATAGGCAAGTAAGAAGAGGCAAAGCAACGAGCGACCATGAACATACCTGTGGTCGCAAATCCACCAGAACAAGGTGGTTATCGGTTCCTCCAGAAACCAGCTTGTAACCCAGTTCCACCAGTCGGGTGGCAAGAGTTTTGCAATTAGATATAACCTATAAAAACCAGCAAATCAGGCACAAACGGAGAAAAATGATATGCCTTATATTTGAATCATTTAAAAACACAGCAGGAGCAGCAAGTGAATGATAATGAGGATCACACTGCCGAATCTTTACTGGTTAAATTCCAGTAAGTTTCAAATTTTGGATTTTACCTGAGACTGATAAGCCTTAAACTCAGGTGATTGAGCATGCTTTAAACACACAGCAAGAGCAGCAATTGTATGGTTATGAGGGCCACCCTGCAGAAACTTCACTCGTTATATTCCAATAACTATAACTTGCATAAACATTGTGAATCAGAAAATAAACGTAAAAATTGTATCAGTTAATTTGGCTACAATTCAACAGTAGAAACAGCAAGGTTCAGTTTAGATACATCACGTTGTCTTTTCTTTTTGGAAAATAAAAAAGATTAGATACATCACATACCTGCAAGCCTGGAAATACAGCATTACTTATAGCAGATTCTAGATCAACACCTAAAACCAGATCCTTCTTGTAAAAGATCATGCCACCTCGAGGACCTCGCAAGGACTGACAAGTTGTTATGAAGTAAAAAAAACAAAGCCTACAGAATAAAAAATTCAAATACAAAATAAAAGTTCTGATATGACATTGTAGAAAAATATAACATGAAACATTGAGAACAAACAGAAAATATATCAATGACAAAATTGAGAGGACTTTTCAGTTTTGTTTTTCATGCGACTGCAGTATACAGTAGTCGGAGAAATTACATGATATGACACAAGCTTCATAACAGCTGAGAGAAGACTTTTCAGTTTTATTCTTAATATTGATCAAAATTTAACATAACCAAGAATATCTCAGATAAACAACACGAGTTCCTTAAGAGAAACTAGTCTTTGGGGAAGTACCCTCTCGCATAAGGAAGTGGCGGTACATGTCAAGCAAAAAAAGCTGCAGCAAGAGCGCACACACCCTTATTTAGATTTTATAAAAACAATTTCAAAAGAAGAAATCTGTCAGTATGTTCTCTTGTTAGGATCAGGTTTGTTTGGCCCCTGTTGGCAGGAAAAATGTGAACTTCCTGAGGATTGCTTCTACTTTTATTGTGGTAGGTGACTTAGTTCATCTTGCCAGTTAAATTTCCTTCACATTGGAGCAGTGGTTTCACATCCTAGGATTTAATCTTGTTTACAGCTATAACATAAGTTGGACAATCTTAGATCTGTCTGATAATATGTCTCCCTTAACCAGTCACCCAATAGGGCAGCAGCCGCATTTAGTGTATTTATTGTAGCAACAGAGGAGCAGTAACTATGGATGTCAAAACAATTGTCGGAACCTTAGCAAGTAAGAGAGACGAGAACATGGCAGTAGACAATGGAAAATATTAATTAATGCACACCTTGTGTGTGGTGGTGGTAACCACATCACAATACTCAAAGGGATCAGCAGCTACTTCAGCAGCAACAAGTCCACTGATGTGAGCCATGTCCATCATAAGAAATGCACCAACAGCATCTGCTATCTAAAATTACAGAATAAGATAGAACCAAATAGCATTAAGAATTTTGCAACAATCTTTCTCTGGAAGCATGCAAAAGATTTATCAAAATAATTACCTTCCTCATGCAAGGGTAATCAAAGTCTCTAGGGTATGCACTTGCACCAGCAATTATGAGCTTTGGTCGGAAGAGAAGTGCTGTTTTCTCAAGCATATCATAATCCACAAAGCCTGTTGGAGAAACTAAAAGGCTTAATAGCATGAAGAAACTTGCTTATATAATTTCATGAAGATGTCATCTTTAGCTTAAGAAAAAAAGAGAATGTTTAACCTGTGGATTCATCAAGCCGGTAAGGCATAGATTCAAAAAATATAGAGGTGCCTGAAACTCGTCTTTTAGGTGTCATAAAACCATGAGATAGGTGGCCTCCATGAGGAAGGTCTAGCCCCTAATTCAGTGGCAATACAATCAAACTCACAAGATATATATTAACATGGCAAGAATACAACCAAATAAAAAGCTAAATTATCCAATAATGACATGAAGTTACCATTATTCGGTCATGAGGGCTAAGAAGAGCAGTATAAACTTCAAAATTAGCAGGAGATCCAGAAAGTGGTTGCACATTTACACCCCACTTATGTTTATCTAAGTGAAATGCTTCAAGAGCTCTTTGTTGACAAAGTGTCTCAACCTGATCAATATACTCATTACCTCCATAGTATCTGAATTGGAAACAGATCAAGGACACCTCAAGTTTTACAATCCTTGGAAGCAAATTAAGCATCATGTTCTTTCATTTAGATTTCTAAAAATCACCTTTTACCAGGTAAACCTTCTGAATACTTGTTTGTTAGACAGGAACCAGATGCTTCCATCACAGCCCGAGATGTAAAGTTTTCAGAAGCTATGAGCTCTAAGCAGTTGAATTGACGCTGCTTCTCTTTTTCAATGAGAGCATGGAGCTCAGGATCTGCTACTTTCAGTGAGTAGTCCTTTAAAGTGTCTATGCTTCCTGATTAAGAACATGTGCAATTTTAAGCAAAAAAGTAAGCACTGTGCAAGAACTATCTATTTACCAGTCAGCTCTAATGAATAAAACATTACTCATTATACATGCCTTAGCTACAAGTACTCGTGAAGAAAACAGTCTAAAATATACAAGCTGTGAACAATGAGAAAAACCGAACAATCTACTTGGTGGCTGATAATTACAAGACACTACATAACAGCATCTTAAAAGGATGACTTCAACTGCATAAGCAAAACCTCTAAGC